TGAATAGCAACTACTAAGTCCAGATTGGACCGCCAGACATACTGGAGGTGTAGTGATTTATGTTTACCACAAAATACAGATCAAATTACCACTTTAGACTATGCATACTGGTATGCACATATACAGTCCAAATTATTTGGGAAACGTATGATCTTTGTACTTTTTATCGCTCACCAAATAGTGATGCATTTTTTATGTTTTTTATTGCGAAGAAATGTCGAAATTTAGAAACAATATAATACTTTTAGGTGATTATTAATTTAAATTATTATAGCAAAAGCATGAAACAAGAAAATTGAAAGAAACCATAAATAACTATGGGTTCAAGCAAAAAATTGAAGAGAGTACCAGAATAACATAATTATCAGAGACTTTGTTAGATCTTATTATTGTAAATTTCGAATGTGTAGGGATTAAAGCTATATATACTCCTAAAGTTAGTGATCACAGTTGGACAATGCTGCCCTTGGTAGGACATTTTCTGATACAAAAAATAAGAAAATCGTAAATACTATTAAGTATGAAAACTTGAACGAGAACTTGCTGGCTGCTATTGGAATTTTGGTGAGAATATGGAAAAAATATATCACAATATAAAAGGAAATATAAAAAATTGTTTAGATCTTGCAACTGATAAAAAATAGATATGCTCGACAAAAAATACACCCTGGTATAACAAAAATATTAAGGCAGCTCAAAATTTAAGAGGCATACAATACAAAAATGTATATTCACAAAGTCAAATGATGACTGGGGGTATATAAAACTCTTAGGAATAAATGTTTGTATGTAGTTAGAGACGAAAAAGGAAATTCTACGATAAACAAATCGATAATAACAAGTACGACAGTGTAAAGATGTGAAAACTTTAAAAAGACTGACCAATTCGAAGCCGGCATGCTTGGTGTAAATCAAGTTCAATTCGAAACGGTACCGAAACAAATTCTTGGTAATTGCAAACAAACTACATGAATATTTGTGGAAAGTATTGTTGATATTGTGGGTACTGTCAATGCTGCACCTGACTATATTAAAATCAGTTTCCAGGGGGAAGTGTTGCATACACTTTCAAATTTCATAGCGTATCATTGAATTATCTGAGAAAAAAAGTAACTGTTTAAAATCAAACAACAGCTGTACCGAAATCACTACTAAAAACGTGCTGAAAAACTGTTTCGAAATTTTGGGATCCTGTATTAAATTGGATCAATTGTTCACTGAGAAGCAGTTCTTTCCTGAAAATTTGAAATGCTCTACAATAACATCAGTTCCCAAAATAAGGTATCTAAAGATGCAGCGACATGAGACCCATACATGTGTTACCAGACATTGAAAAATTATTAGGGTCCACAGTGCATGATCAAGTAAGGCAGTTTTATGAAGAAAACAAAATTTTAGTGGAGGCGCAAGCAGGCTTTCGAAAAAATATTCCACAGAAACGGCTTTCCAGCTGGTAACTGAGAATTGGAGAAGAACCATAGACCCAGAAGAAGTTGTAATAGCAGTATTTTTGGATTTGAAGAGGGCATTTGAAACGATTGATAGAGATATTTTGTTAGGTAAATTGAAGGCATCTGGTATATCAGGAAGCGTTTTAGATTGGCTCAGAAATTATTTGACTAAAAGCATGCAAGTACAAAAGTTAATGACACTATTTCATGAAAAATTGAAAATATGTTGGGTGTTTCACAAGGCAGGATCGTGGGACCACTTCTTTTATTTTATACATGAATGATTTACCTCCCATAGTCAAAAAATTCAGATTTTCGCCGGTGACACTATCATTTATAGGTACTAAAAATACTACTAAAAAACATTCAGACTGGTATCTCTTATATAAATGAAGACTTGAAACTTGTCTTAAAACGGTTAGCATCTAACCGACTCAAATTAAATACGTAAACGAAAGCTATGTTAATCGAAAAAAAAACAATGTACAAATGTTCAACTGAATATTGATGGTGAAGATATTAAATTCATAGAAAATTTTAAATACCTGGGGTTTTTGTTGACTCTCGATTAATTTTTAATTATCTATAATACCATCATTCTTCCAAATTTCTTGTACTGTTTGACTATTCTATATTTAGCAAATAATTTCATTTTTGAAAGACTGCAAATTTTACAAAACAAGTGCATGAGAATAATACTGGATAAAGATAAATATACTCCAATTAGACAAATGCTTAGCAAATTAAAATGGCTGAATGTAAATTTTATCAAATATCTTGTAATGATATTCATTTATAAAGTATATTTCCATCAAGTCGAACAAACTTAACATCATCAAATGCCGACCATAATTTACATAATACCAGAAATAAAGATGACTTCCATTTAATGACCAAAAAGTATAAGGTATGCTACAAATCTGTATTCCATCAAGGGTTGATTGAATATAATGAATTATACACAGAGATAAAATACCAGAAAACTTTGACAAAATTTAAAGTAAAGTTGAGGAATCACTTGTTAAATCTACAATTATAGCTTGCCCAGCATTTACATCATACATCATATGGCTTGAATTTACTAATTCTAAGTTGTTTACAATTATTCTGTTTATGTAGTCAAATGTGCTAAATAAATCTTTCTACTACTACTACCTGATAGCCATGTCGTAGGGGTAGGTAGGCAGGCGGCCACCTTATTAGATTTATAATGACGTCAATTTGATTATTATCTTCCCTTCATGAAGCCCTTTCATTTGATACCCATAGTATAGAGATGACCATGAAAATTATAAATCGCCATTTGCGATGGCCGCCTCCTTGGATGTAGAATCATATCCATTGCTTGTTATTTGATACCTATATCATAGAGGTATCGATGATAATTAAAATCGCCATCTTGCGGCGACCGCCATATTGGACTTCACTTTGCTTATTGCGTTTCGCTCATAAATCCCCTTCTCTTCAATCAGACCCCGTTCCGCCCAGTCTAGTACTTCCTTCACTCCCTCCACAACCTGTCTTGGAACAGATTACCAATATAGGACTGGGGTAAAGTATGGTGTTGTCATCGTAAATGTAGACTTCACAGTTGTTGGGACAAGGCATAAAAAGCGAGTTAAGGATTGGTCCTAGGACTGAGCCCTGTCCCGTCTACGTGGACGAAATCCAAGGCCATTATAGTGATGAGATTTATATGTGTCACTTTTAAACCCTATTTGCTGCATAGTTGCAGGTGTAAGTGAGTCTGTTTCATTCCATTGCATTCCCTGCAGATTAAACACACTATTAAAGTTAAGGTAGGAAGACGGTTTTAGTGGATTGCGTTGCCGTTAACAATTCAGCTGCATTATCCAACACGGTTAGTTTTAGTTGAGTGTTGTTTGTGCTTGCTTGCAGCTTCTGTTTTGTGCAATTAATTTAATAGTGGCGAAGTAAACTAAACCGATTTTCCAGCCAGATGAGACATAAGCCAAGTTCATTTCGGCCGATTCAAGCGATTGAGATTTGCAAGTGTATCGGCATTTGTTCATGGAAGTTGGAAATTGGGTTGATAACGGTTAGTGTAGTTCAACCGGAACACAATGCAGACATATGATGGATATCCCAAATTATGTAAGGTATTTCTCTCTCTCTCTCTCTCTATCTATCTCTCTCTCTCGAATATGACAAGTTTCTGTGAAATGCTGTGTCTCCTACACTGATATAGTTTCCTAAAACTGTCAGTGTAAAATCGTCTTTCCTTGATATGTTTGTTTGTTTGTTTAAGATTCATTTAGCATGATTGCTACAATTGAAGGGTATGCCGGAACAACGTTCTAACCGCCAAAGTTTAGTTTGAGAAAAACGAAAAAAACGCTTTTCTATGTTTTACTCCGAAATTAAAAAAAGAAAACAGACAGGCTATTTACTAATCGATATTTAATATATTTGAGAAACACAACATCTTTTATAAACCATGTTAAACAAATTAAGAGCCTTAGAAAATAAATTCCCTAAAACAACGTTATATATACACGTCACTTACAACGTTTTTACACGGAAACGAGTCGTTTACGACCTTGTTTTACGCTTAATGGGTCAAATTTTTTTTTTATTGTAATACAGTGAAGTTGGTGCTACAAGAAACATAATACAAATGGATAACATTTGATGGTTTTAAACAACTTTCAGGTTTTCGTAAAAACTAACATATTTTAAGGGGATATAGTCACACATATCCATCAGGTTTGCCTTTTTTTACTTTTTGATCGAAAGTGCTTCATTATATGCCTCTTTAAGATCTCTTATCGCTACTTCTTGTACTAATTTCTTGCGTGACTTCAACAAGTAAGTAAACCATGGTTGAAGTGTGTTGTGAGACTTTCTTACTCGTAAAGTATTCACATCATCTGCGGTCATTTGCAACCACATTACTTGGGTGATTTTACATGATGGATCTTTATATATAACATTTTCCGCTGCCTGAAAATCCTTAAAAAAAGATTGATGCATGAAGATCACTTTAAATGGATTGGATACCTTCGACTTAGCGACAACATCAGCCCACTGTGAGGGAACAAATACTTTAGAGATTTTTTTTGTCGTTCTATGAGAGAAAAGTCTCTATCACACGGCAAAAAGCTATGCCCGCTCGTAAGAAATTTTTGTTCGACTTGCGTAAAGAACTTTTCTAAAACTAGAAGTCGCAGCATTGTCAGCATTTTCCAGTTATTGTTCTGGCCCACACACCTGTCTGACCATACAACTAGTTTTCTTTCTTCACCTGCTTTGAGACGACTATACTTGTTAGTAATATAGAATAGTAGTGCTGAAGCAATCTCTGTAGATCCCCGATGTGCCATTGCTTCATGCCATAGTAACATTGTTGCGTTTTCCTCCCCCATATTATGAACAGCATAGTTATATGTTAGAATTGCCTTTGATAGAATACAGATGAATGTGTTAAATTGGGACAAAAAAGCACTTGTTGCAGATCTGTGCACAACACAACATAATTTGGATTGAGTTTAGAGGTCTCGGTATCATCTTCAATGTTGTATAACCCGCTTACAGCTTTCTATGGTGGATCTCACTCTCGATTTCTATTTTTTTCTTTTCATTAGCGTCATCAGTTGAACAAAGTTTCATAAACAGCTTGTCACAATACGAACATGTGTCAGATCTTGGTAGACCAAATCGCAGATTGAACTTGCTCTTGAAAATGTCGTGATAAACCCTAAAGGAAATATTATTTGCATCGGGGTATTTCTCCTTAAAAAGTCTGAACATTTTTGAGATATTAGATCAGCTGGACGGCATTGTTTGGCTGAAGTATTTCTGCTGTAATGATTTTCCTGTAGGGGAAACGATCGGATGTGATCGGAAATGAGACCTACGTCCATGTTTTTAAACTTTTTAGGACGATTGAGATGCTTTTCACGTTGATCTTGAAGGTTATTCATGTTCGCTTTAAGTTTACCAATAAGCCACTGTAATCTTCTAGGTATAATTGAGAATATACAGGGTGACCTCGAAGTTGAGTCATTTATTTTAACAGTGAGTAGATCTGATCAAAAGAAATGTTTTTTTCCTTTACCATTTTCCTGGTAAAATTAAAGTAACAAAGTTATAGCCCTTTGGAAGTTTGAGTACCGCCCTGTCTCAATAACAATATTATGTGGTCGTGTTTGGCGACAACGGATATAATCCGCCGTATCGGTTCATCGCATCGGAAACAAAAAAGCGAAAGAATTTGGAACGATGTTTTTACAAGTATCTCATTCATTTGTATACAGTCAGTGACAGTGAATGGTGGTATCTGTTGCGTGGCTCAAACGAAATAAAAATGGCACATGTTTATGCGGATCGGTTTCCCAATCGAGTGCAACCAACCCCTCGTGCATTTGTTAATGTAGTACAACGGGCTCGTGAATCAGGTGACTTAAGACCTCAGAGGGGACCTCACGTTCAAATACAGGTCCGCACTGAAATACTTGTCGGGAGGATACTTTATAAAACAAGGTAAAAATTTTTTTTATTTTTTTTTTATTTTTACACACATATTTTGGTTTATCTTCCCTTCTACAATCATTATCTGAAAATTAATGACTCAACTTCAAAGTCACCCTGTATAACAAACTGTTCCTCTACATACTTGAGTGCCATTAATACTGTACTTTACAGTGCAATGTCTACGAGATATATTTTCCTCAACTCTCCTACGTTTTGGTTCTTGGAGGGATATGATTTGCGACAGATATTGCGACTGACCATCATAATGAAGCTTCCTAAATTTCTGGAACAGACTCACATGTCTTCCAACGAGCAAATCGGCGTTACATCCTCTGGGGTTGAGGACATTTGCAGACCACGTCCTAAAAAAAAATGCACACATTGCACGATATCCCATACTGTCAGGATGGTCACAGGCCCAAGCCGTAAGTGAAATTTCGGGACCCACGCTGCATATTGTGTATTTAACACCTTACATAAAAAACGGTCAACATTTTTTTTCACTATGAAAAATTGGATAATAATGTGCATCGCCTGTGGACACTTTTAAGTGTTAATAAATCTTACCTCTTCTGGCTGGCTTAACGCAGCCTTAGGTACGTTTCTCGATGAAATGTATGCTTCTCCTGCATCCCTCTGATGTTTTCTTACAGTCTGCTTCCAGGTGTCAATTTTTAGCTTTCGTTTTTTACCTCTGTTCATATGACTAATAATAGACTCTGATAAACTAACTTTCATCTTGCAGATATCACGTGGGCTGTGGTAGTTTCGAAAACAAAATTGCTGAAACCTGTCGGCGCGTGCACATACAACGTTGTTACGTGGATATCAAGATTCACTGAATCATTTAGACGTCTGGACACCGATTAAATTTGTGATTCTCAGCTTGAAAGAGGGGGAGGTTATGCGAATGGATACATAGATCCTTGTTTTTTAGAAATCCCACTTTTGACCAAACTGTCGGTTAGAACGTTTTTCCGGCATACCCTTCAATTACATTGTTCTGAAAAACTAAACAATTACATAACATACAGATATTTAGAAAAAAACAAAATTTGCATCTCTAAGAATTTTCACTGTCCATGAAATATTCCTTTAGCTTTCGTTTTAACATCTTTAAATTACAAGTGGACTTGTTATTTAGTTTAATAAATTCAAGTTATCCTTTCTGAAATATTGATTTGTTAGTTATATTACTACTGCAATTTTGCAAATGAAAATCTATATTTCCTCTTGTAGAATAATTGTGGTAATGATTATTCAATTCTATGTCTATGTCAAATTTTGTGGCAAAAGATGATTTTTTATTTTAAATACAAAAATAAGAACCAAATATGATATGAATTTTTTTATATTCAACCACTGCAATTCTTGTAACATAGATTTTATTTTGGTGTACTTATATTTATTAAATATAATTCTCATTGCTTTATGTTGCAAGAATTTTGAGAATACACTGGCAGTTAACAAGATGGATGAACAATATAGTAAATGCGGTAGAATAATTGTATTATAATCTACTTTCTCGGAATATGTACCAATACTATGAGAAGCCCTATAAAAGTAATTTGTTTCTTTGGCAATTTTTGAAATAATGTATTCATGGTGATAGTCAAAACTTAGTTTACTATCAATGCATACACCTAAAAATTTAATTGATTCGACATTTTCAATTATTTCTCCATTTATCCTAACTGTGATAGTATTTTCATTTAGGTAATTTTAGTTTATTTACATTTAACCAATTTATGATTTTTGCCAAGTCAGAATTTATCATTTTTAAAGCAGTGTCTATATTTCCATCTGATATATATATATATAACTTGAGACGTGGTCATTGTCGTCTAGACCAGTTAGGTGAAAAATTAAAGCTTACGCCTTTTGTTGGGTACTTCGACAAAATTTAAGCAAAGAGGACTCTTTATACTTTTTTTAATTCTCTCTAGCTTTCAATGGACTTTGCCATCATCATCAGGAGCTGCAATTACAATTATAACAGTAGCAACAAAGGTGTAAAATGAATTTAAATTGACTCAACTTACAGTAGTATGTGAGGATGTTGCTAATAGTTGTTTACGTATAGGATGAGGGAAACGTCCAGTAACATGGTGAGAGCTGGATAGATTGTACAGTAGTCGAACTTATATAAAATATGACAAGAACAAGTTAAAAAACAGATTAAAAATTATTTAAAAAATTAAAGTATTACATCGTGAAGCCACTTGATGATTGCACAAATTAGTGGTCATGGAATGATGAGTGACATGAAACCCTTTGACAGAAGGCCGAAGGATGTCAATGTCAGTATTGAAAGATGGAACGAATTGTGGGCGTGTGCCAAAACGTTGCCAAATCACTTCAGATGATGAGATTTTCAGAATTTTATGTTAGAATTTGTTAAACCGACCAGAGGCAGTTGAATAAACTATGTTTATTAATGGGAATTTAAATTAACAATATTAATAAATCGTGAGGAGAGAATTATTATATTTTGAGTGGAATGAAATTTACTGGTGGAATCGGCCAAAACACAGATTCTAATTATGGTTGTAAGAGTTGAAATTTGGGGAGATATGTAAGTTCTCCAATTTTTCGCAGTTTAGCAAATATGAGTAAATGACACTCAGTTGTTTAACATCTGTCTTTTGTTGATACAGTTGTTATTCATGAAAATGTGGGACATTTCCAGGAATAAACGTTTGGAAAGGTGTTTTTCTTTATCAAGAACTTTGATACTTGTGTAATTCATAGAATGCCCTGTTGTGTTAACATGAGATGCTAGAGCGCATCTTTCAGGATGAAGCCTAGCATCACTTTTGTGTGATGTAATCCTTCCTTTCAGAGATCTGGAGGTCTGACCTATGTATATTTGGTTGCAATTGTTGCAATTGATGGAGTAGACTGTGTTGGTTAAGCCAAGCAGCGGGACTTTGTCTTTCATTTTTGAAAAAATGCAGTTTATAGTGAGGACGGATTTGCAAGCAATTCGAAAGTTCAAAGGACTGCACAATCTGATCAGCTTAGGGGTCAGTTCCTTGATGTAGGGCAGGACAGCAAAACCCCTAATCCGGAACTGATGTAATTCCCAATATAACATCAATCCTACAGTACAGCACCAACCCGGACTCCAGACCTGGTTTTGCTGTCCTGCCCTACATCAAGGAACTGACCCCTAAGCTGATCAGATTGTGCAGTCCTTTGAACTTTCGAATTGCTTGCAAATCCGTCCTCACTATAAACTGCATTTTTTCAAAAATGAAGACAAAGTCCCGCTGCTTGGCTTAACCAACACAGTCTACTCCATCAATTGCAACAATTGCAACCAAATATACATAGGTCAGACCTCCAGATCTCTGAAAGGAAGGATTACATCACACAAAAGTGATGCTAGGCTTCATCCTGAAAGATGCGCTCTAGCATCTCATGTTAACACAACAGGGCATTCTATGAATTACACAAGTATCAAAGTTCTTGATAAAAAAAACACCTTTCCAAACGTTTATTCCTGGAAATGTCCCACATTTTCATGAATAACAACTGTATCAACAAAAAGACAGATGTTAAACAACTGAGTGTCATTTACTCATATTTGCTAAACTGCGAAAAATTGGAGAACTTACATATCTCCCCAAATTTCAACTCTTCACAACCATAATTAGAATCTGTGTTTTTGGCCGATTCCACCAGTAAATTTCATTCCACTCAAAATATAATAATCTCTCCTCACGATTTATTAATAATTGTTAATTTAAATTCCCATTAATAAATATAGTTTATTCAACTGCCTCTGGTCGGTTTAACAAATTCTAACATAAAATTCTGAAAATCTCATCATCTGAAGTGATTTGGCAACGTTTTGGCACACGCCCACAATTCGTTCCATCTTTCAATACTGACATTGACATCCTTCGGCCTTCTGTCAAAGGGTTTCATGTCACTCATCATTCCATGACCACTAATTTGTGCAATCATCAAGTGGCTTCACGATGTAATACTTTAATTTTTAAATAATTTTTAATCTGTTTTTAACTTGTTCTTGTCATATTTTATATAAGTTCGACTACTGTACAATCTATCCAGCTCTCACCATGTTACTGGACGTTTCCCTCATCCTATACGTAAACAACTATTAGCAACATCCTCACATACTACTGTAAGTTGAGTCAATTTAAATTCATTTTACACCTTTGTTGCTACTGTTATCATTGTAATTGCAGCTCCTGATGATGATGGCAAAGTCCATTGAAAGCTAGAGAGAATTAAAAAAAGTATAAAGAGTCCTCTTTGCTTAAATTTTGTCGAAGTACCCAACAAAAGGCGTAAGCTTTAATTTTTCACCTAACTGGTCTAGACGACAATGACCACGTCTCAAGTTATATATATTATATCAGATGGAAATATAGACACTGCTTTAAAAATGATAAATTCTGACTTGGCAAAAATCATAAATTGGTTAAATGTAAATAAACTAAAATTACCTAAATGAAAATACTATCACAGTTAGGATAAATGGAGAAATAATTGAAAATGTCGAATCAATTAAATTTTTAGGTGTATGCATTGATAGTAAACTAAGTTTTGACTATCACCATGAATACATTATTTCAAAAATTGCCAAAGAAAACAAATTACTTTTATAGGGCTTCTCATAGTATTGGTACATATTCCGAGAAAGTAGATTATAATACAATTATTCTACCGCATTTACTATATTGTTCATCCATCTTGTTAACTGCCAGTGTATTCTCAAAATTCTTGCAACATAAAGCAATGAGATTATATTTAATAAATATAAGTACACCAAAATAAAATCTATGTTACAAGAATTGCAGTGGTTGAATATAAAAAAATTCATATCATATTTGGTTCTATTTTTGTATTTAAAATAAAAAATCATCTTTTGCCACAAAATTTGACATAGACATAGAATTGAATAATCATTACCACAATTATTCTACAAGAGGAAATATAGATTTTCATTTGCAAAATTGCAGTAGTAATATAACTAACAAATCAATATTTCAAAGGATAACTTGAATTTATTAAACTAAATAACAAGTCCACTTGTAATTTAAAGATGTTAAAACGAAAGCTAAAGGAATATTTCATGGACAGTGAAAATTCTTAGAGATGCAAATTTTGTTTTTTTCTAAATATCTGTATGTTATGTAATTGTTTAGTTTTTCAGAACAATGTAATTGAAGGGTATGCCGGAAAAAACGTTCTAACCGACAGTTTGGTCAAAAGTGGGATTTCTAAAAAACAAGGATCTATGTATCCATTCGCATAACCTCCCCCTCTTTCAAGCTGAGAATCACAAATTTAATCGGTGTCCAGACGTCTAAATGATTCAGTGAATCTTGATATCCACGTAACAACGTTGTATGTGCACGCGCCGACAGGTTTCAGCAATTTTGTTTTCGAAACTACCACAGCCCACGTGATATCTGCAAGATGAAAGTTAGTTTATCAGAGTCTATTATTAGTCATATGAACAGAGGTAAAAAACGAAAGCTAAAAATTGACACCTGGAAGCAGACTGTAAGAAAACATCAGAGGGATGCAGGAGAAGCATACATTTCATCGAGAAACGTACCTAAGGCTGCGTTAAGCCAGCCAGAAGAGGTAAGATTTATTAACACTTAAAAGTGTCCACAGGCGATGCACATTATTATCCAATTTTTCATAGTGTAAAAAAATGTTGACCGTTTTTTATGTAAGGTGTTAAATACACAATATGCAGCGTGGTCCCGAAATTTCACTTACGGCTTGGGCCTGTGACCATCCTGACAGTATGGGATATCGTGCAATGTGTGCATTTTTTTTTAGGAACGTGTCTGCAAATGTCCTCAAACCCCCAGAGGATGTAACGCCGATTTGCTCGTTGGAAGACATGTGAGTCTGTTCCAGAAATTTAGGAAGCTTCATTATGATGGTCAGTCGCAATATCTGTCGCAAATCATATCCCTCCAAGAACCAAAACGTAGGAGAGTTGAGGAAAATATATCTCGTAGACATTGCACTGTAAAGTACAGTATTAATGGCACTCAAGTATGTAGAGGAACAGTTTGTTATACAGGGTGACTTTGAAGTTGAGTCATTAATTTTCAGATAATGATTGTAGAAGGAAGATAAACCAAAATATGTGTGTAAAAATAAAAAAAAATAAAAAAAATTTTTACCTTGTTTTATAAAGTATCCTCCCGACAAGTATTTCAGTGCGGACCTGTATTTGAACGTGAGGTCCCCTCTGAGGTCTTAAGTCACCTGATTCACGAGCCCGTTGTACTACATTAACAAAGGCACGAGGGGTTGGTTGCACTCGATTGGGAAACCGATCCGCAAACATGTGCCATTTTTTATTTCGTTTGAGCCACGCAACAGATACCACCATTCACTGTCACTGACTGTATACAAATGAATGAGATACTTGTAAAAACATCGTTCCAAATTCTTTCGCTTTTTTGTTTCCGATGCGATGAACCGATACGGCGGATTATATCCGTTGTCGCCAAACACGACCACATAATATTGTTATTGAGACAGGGCGGTACTCAAACTTCCAAAGGGCTATAACTTTGTTACTTTAATTTTACCAGGAAAATGGTAAAGGAAAAAAACATTTCTTTGATCAGATCTACTCACTGTTAAAATAAATGACTCAACTTCGAGGTCACCCTGTATATTCTCAATTATACCTAGAAGATTACAGTGGCTTATTGGTAAACTTAAAGCGAACATGAATAACCTTCAAGATCAACGTGAAAGCATCTCAATCGTCCTAAAAAGTTTAAAAACATGGACGTAGGTCTCATTTCCGATCACATCCGATCGTTTCCCCTACAGGAAAATCATTACAGCAGAAATACTTCAGCCAAACAATGCCGTCCAGCTGATCTAAATATCTCAAAAATGTTCAGACTTTTTAAGGAGAAATACCCCGATGCAAATAATATTTCCTTTAGGGTTTATCACGACATTTTCAAGAGCAAGTTCAATCTGCGATTTGGTCTACCAAGATCTGACACATGTTCGTATTGTGACAAGCTGTTTATGAAACTTTGTTCAACTGATGACGCTAATGAAAAGAAAAAAATAGAAATCGAGAGTGAGATCCACCATAGAAAAGCTGAAGCGGGTTATAAAACATTGAAAGATGATACCGAGACCTCTAAACTCAATCCAAATTATGTTGTGTTGTGCACAGATCTGCAACAAGTGCTTTTTTGTCCCAATTTAACACATTCATCTGTATTCTATCAAAGGCAATTCTCAACATATAACTATGCTGTTCATAATATGGGGGAGGAAAACGCAACAATGTTACTATGGCATGAAGCAATGGCACATCGGGGATCTACAGAGATTGCTTCAGCACTACTATTCTATATTACTAACAAGTATAGTCGTCTCAAAGCAGGTGAAGAAAGAAGAAAACTAGTTGTATGGTCAGACAGGTGTGTGGGCCAGAACAATAACTGGAAAATGCTGACAATGCTGCGACTTCTAGTTTTAGAAAAGTTCTTTACGCAAGTCGAACAAAAATTTCTTACGAGCGGGCATAGCTTTTTGCCGTGTGATAGAGACTTTTCTCTCATAGACGACAAAAAAAAATCTCTAAAGTATTTGTTCCCTCACAGTGGGCTGTTGTCGCTAAGTCGAAGGTATCCAATCCATTTAAAGTGATCTTCATGCATCAATCTTTTTTTAAGGATTTTCAGGCAGCGGAAAATGTTATATATAAAGATCCATCATGTAAAATCACCCAAGTAATGTGGTTGCAAATGACCGCAGATGATGTGAATACTTTACGAGTAAGAAAGTCTCACAACACACTTCA